TCTTTCTCGGTTGGGCAGCTGGCTAGGGTGGTGCAGAATCCATCAGAGGAGCAGGTGGATGCAGCTGAGCGTGTGGTGAAGTACCTGAACTCTCACCCAAGCATTGGAGTTCAATACTCCGCATCTGCACAGGTGAAGCAGAAAGGGGTGGAGGTGCTGAAAGAGAAGGGGGAGAGGCTTGGAGAAGGCAAGCTATTTCTCACTTGCTTTACCGATGCTACGTGGGCTTCTGAGAAGGAGGATTCCTCATCTGTGGGAGGATACATCTGCGTAGTTGGGGGAGGACCTGTTAGTTGGAGGTCCAAGAAGCAGACGGAGACGGCACTCTCTTCCGTAGAATCAGAGTACATGGCGATGTTCCATGGGGTGAAGGAGGTGATTTGGCTGAGGAGGCTGTTAGAGGAGATTGGCCAGGAGCAGAAAGTTGCTACGCCGCTGTTTTGTGATAGCAAGGGGGCTCTTGGGATGGCCAGAAACGCTGTGCTTCATGGGCTGAACAAGCACATGCGTATCAAGTGGCACTGGCTGCGTAAGGAGGTGAAGAGGGGGACGGTGCATCCGATCTACATCAAGACTCACCAGCAGCCAGCAGACTTTCTCACCAAGAGGCTTGCGGATGAGCCTCATTGGCGTTGTGTGCGCATGAGTGGAATGAGCATGAACTAGCATGGAATGACGGGGATGCAGCCGGCAGGCTGAGGGGGAGTGTGTTGGGTGCAAATGCACATTGCACGACATCCTGCCGTCTGTTTGTACGAGTATGCGTGTGCGAATGCATTTGCGTGTGAATGGTGTGTTCGTGTGTTTGTTTGCTTTCGCATTTTTCGCTTGATGCATTTGCAGGTACTCGCGCAATGTGCGCTTCGGCACAACATTGTATGCGCTATGAACAGTGCAAGCAGAAAGGACGAGCTCGCAAAGGAACCCAAGATGGAAGCTTTGCAGTTCGGTTGAGTTGATTGCGCAGATTCAGTTCTATCCAACTCGGAATTGTACTGTTTTGTTTGGTTAACTATAGTGTAGCAGGGAAGGCACTATAGGGGTACAATTTAGGTGAAGGTTGGATGTTGTTTGTCTGTATCTGCATGCTACAAGGCCAGGGGAAACCAGCGGAACCAGCATTTGGCTGGTTGGGCAAAGACAAAACAGGTTCTGTTTTTAGAACCTGAACCTGGTTGTTGTTTTCCCAGGTTGGAAAAACAGAACCAGAGGTTGTTTACCAACCTACCACCTGCTATTTTTGTCCAGCCAGGTTGGTTCTGTTGCTTGGAATTATTTGGGATCATCCCTGGTTGTTCCCAGGTTGATTCCCAAGGTCCTTGCTAGCTAGAACTATTTAATCCTTCTCTGTTTGTACCTGAATATAGTCAAATTGATTCAAGCGAATTCCTTCCTCGCTGGAATTTCGTTTCTGCGCTATTCGACGGCGGAATGCTACCCGAGTCAACGCTAGTATGCTAGCACTCCAACGCTAGGCAAACGCTGTCCGAGCCATAACTTAGTAATGGCAGAACTTTTCGCGAGGCAACTTGGCTCATTTTAAAGCTCTTGGAGCGAGCTTCGATATAGCGAATTCTCAGCTTAATCCGATCGACGGTCTGCACGGCACGCTGCGCGACGTTCAAGGTACTCTTGCTGTTTTGACTAAGTCCTTCTTGATCCTCTCTCTCTACAAACTCGGACCCGAGGATAGGGGCTGGTCTTGTACCAGGCACCCAGGGACCCTTGGAGGTGACCCGGAGGAGAGGTTTTAAGTTTGATTAAGTCCTAATAGCTTGAGTTTATTAGGCCCTTACACCAACAGGAGGGGACCCGAGGAGAGGTTTTAAGTTGGATTAAGTTCCTAATAGCCGAGTTTATTAGGCCCTTAACCACAGACCTGGGAGTGCAGTCGACCTGGATAAGGGGGGAGCAGGTCGAGGAGGTGCAGCCGACTTGGGTGAAGTCGACAGGGGAGAAGGCAGCCACGAGGTCGACCCAGGAGCAGTCGGCGACCTGGCGATCGACAGGGGAGCTGACCACAGGGAGCAGCAAGCCGGGAAGCCGACCGAGTGCAGCAGGGCAACGAGGATGCAGTGAAGATGAAGGGGAGAGTTGGGCGACGAGGAGCTGGTCGACCAGGAGGTGGCCGACCAGTCCACCGACCATGACGAGGTGGGGGTTCCGCCTGAACCCCGGAAGTCTGGTCGACTTCGAAGGCCGCCCGACTTCTTCATTCCCGCTGCCTTCACCACGGTGTACGACGTGGAGGACGACGACGACCTGCTGTACGACGACGCTGATGAGGACGAGGAGTTTCCGGAGCTCGACCCCGACATGCTGGCCGACCCCGAGCACCGCTGGGACATCTCGACGATGACGGTGAAGGAGGCGCTGGCGAGCTGGAAGGGTCCAGCAGTGAAGGCCGCCATGGAGGAAGAGATCCGTAGTCTCCTCGCCATGGGCACGTGGGAGCTGGTCGAACGCCCGCCGGGAGTGAATGTCATGAAGAACCGGTGGGTGCTGACGACGAAGTACAACATCGACGACACCGTCGAGCGGGAGAAGGCGAGGCTGGTCGTGAAGGGCTTCACGCAGGTGTACGGCGCCGACTACGACGAGACGTTCGCGCCGGTGGGCAGCTACGTCACGCTGAGGATCTTCCTCAGCATCGTCGCCGTCCTCAACCTGAACCTGATGCAGCTCGACATGAAGAACGCCTTCCTGCAGAGCAAGCTCGACCGGGTGCTGTACATGTCGCAGCCGGACTACTTCAACGACGGAACCGGCCGGGTGTGCAAGCTGCTGAAGAGCCTGTACAGGCTGAAGCAGTCGCCGCTGCTGTGGTACTTGGCGCTCAACGACGTGCTGGTCGGCGCTGGGTGGAAGAAGAGCCAGGTCGACGAGGCCCTCTACTTCAAGGTCGGCGACGACGGAGCGACTTGCTGGGTGCTGGTCTACGTCGACGACCTGCTCGCCGCCAGCAGCAGCCCCGAGATGCTGAAGCAGCTGAAGGAGCTACTGGAGGCCGCCTTCGAGCTGCGCGAGATCTCGCCGGTGCAGAAGTACCTCGGGCTGGAGATCGTGCGCGACAGGTCGGCGGGGAAGCTGTGGCTGCACCAGCAGGGCTACGCCGACAAGCTGCGTAGGCGCTTCATCGACGAGGAGCAGGGCGGACGGACTCCGAAGACGCCGGTCTCGGTCGACGCCTACGCCGAGCTCACCTTCGACGACGAGGAGGCGCAGGAGCGACAGGAGGAGGAGTACCGGCAGAAGGTCGGCTCGCTACAGTTCGCGGCGACGACGACGAGGCCGGACATCGCCTTCGCCTGCAGCAAGCTGGGGAGCGGCCTCACGGTGAGGAGCGACCAGCACTGGCGCGAGGTCGACCGCTGCCTCGCCTACCTCGCCAACATGCGTGACACCGCCCTGGAGTTCGGCGGTGGACCTGAGTCGCTGGAGCTGATCGGCTACGTGGACGCCGACGACGCCGGTGACAAGCAGAGCAGGACGAGCACGGGCGGCTACGTGTTCGTCTACGGAGGGGCCGCGGTCTCCTGGTCGAGCTAGCGCATCAAGTGCGCGACGCTGTCGTCGACCGAGTCGGAGTACGTCGCGGCCGTCGAAGCCGGCAAGGAGGGACGCCGACTTCGCTTCCTCCTCGCAGAGTTCCAGCAGTTGGATGCTGGGAAGCCGACCGTCCTTCGGGTGGACAACAAGTCGGCCATCACGGTCGCCGAGGGCATGGGGTTGACGGGCAACCTCAAGCACATGGAGCGGCGACAGGCCTGGCTGCAGCACATGGTGAAGCGGGGGAAGTTTGCGCTGCAGTACATCCCGACCGCTGAGCAGCCAGCTGACTTCCTCACGAAGGCGCTGCACTATCCGGCTTTCAACCGGTGCTCCGTCGCCATCGGCCAGGTGCGCTTGGCCGACGTGGGCGACGAAGTTGACGAAGTGCAGCGGTAGGTGCCATGCCCTTTTGCATGGCTGGTGCGGTGGACGACGTGCTGTGTGTTGGGTGCACGTCGACGAGCTGTTCTCCGAGCAGTGCTGCCGTAGGGGCTGGAGGCCCAAGCGTGAACGCGGCAGGGGAGTGTCAACGGGAGTTGGGTGTTGGCCCCGTCCTCGCTTGGGCGGAGCCGACTTCGTGGTCGGATGTAGGGGTGCAGCCGACCTGCAGCAGTGGGCGGGCTGGTCGACGAGGTTGGTCGACCTGCACGGGAGCCATTGCATGGGCGCCGACTTCGGGAGGGCGCCAACTTCGGGTGGTCGACCCGGGACGTCGACCAGCCCTTCTGGTCGACTTGGGAAGTCGACCAGCCGTTCTGGTCGACCAGGAGTGACGTCGACTTGGAGCTGGTCGACCAGGGGATAGTGGTCGACCTGGGGAGGTCGACTGGAAGTGGTCGTCGACCTGGGTGGTCGACGGGCACGCACTGGAGCCTCTGGTCGACCTGGTTGCCCGGTCGACCAGGTTATCTGGGTGACGAGGTGCTGCGAAGGCTTGCGAAGGTCGCCCAGGTGGTTTTGGCGAGGACGACCTCAGTGATGGTATCCCGAGGTCGACGTGGTGCATCAGATGCAGTCGTCAGCACGAGGTGGACTTGGTGTGTGCGCTGTGCAGGTGACGAAGCAGTGCACGCCAATCATCTACGAGCACCTGCGAAGCGGGTGCGATGCTGGACTGCAGGAGCAACGCTGGCACGCCGTCGACTTGCGCTGTTGTCACGCCGTCGACCTGCAGCGTTGGCAAGCCGCGTCTCTGCACTGCTGGAACGCGGTCGACCAAGTCGTGCTGGCACGCGGTCGACCGTGCTGCGCTGGCAGTCGACCTGCTTGCATGCTAGCTCTGATGTAGTCTTTCCTAGCCAACTTCATTGTATCAATTATTGTCAACTTTCTCTAGTGAAACTCTTGCCAAATTGCCTTGTGAACTTGCAAGCAGTGTGTGCACTAGGAAAACGACTAAGGACCGAGGAACGCAGAGATCACACGAGCACCCGTGCCTAGCCCGCAGCCTAGCTCCCGTTGTAGTAGTTATCTCCGCAAGTAGCTCCAGAACCTTCAGCGCCAGCACCCTCAGCAGCTCCAAAACCTCCAGCTCCAGCGCCACCAGCGCCAGCACCTCCAGTAGCTCCAGAACCTCCAGCGCCAGCACCCTCAGCAGCTCCAGAACCTCCAGCTCCAGCGCCACCAGCAGCAGCACCTCCAGCAGCTCCAGAACCTCCAGCGCCAGCACCCCCAATAGCTCCAGAACCTCCAGTGCCTGCACCCTCAGCGCCAGCACCTCCAGTAGCTCCAGAACCTCCAGCGCCAGCACCCTCAGCAGCTCCAGAACCTCCAGCAGAAACAACTCTAGTAGGAGAGTCACAAGCTCCAGTGCCCCCAGCAGCAGGGCCCCCAGCTCCAGCAGCGCGACCCTGACGGCCAACGTACCACTCACGCAGCTGCTGTGGGGAGAGAGGAAGTAGGCGACGAGAGTGCAGCGGCGAGGCACCAGCGGACTGACTACGGAGACGGCCGCTCCAAGGAGACTGCTCACCAGACGCCTCAGCGCCCCCAGGTGCAGCACCCCCAGACTCAGTACCCCCAGGCTCAGCACCCCAGAATCCTCACACTCAGGCTTAGCACCTCCAGGCTCGGCACCCTCAGGCTCCGCACCCCCAGGCTCAGCACCCCCAGGCTCCGAACCCCCAGGCTCAGCACCCCCAAGCTCCGCACCCCCAGGCTCAGCACCCCCAGAAGTAGCACCCCGAGCAGGACCACCCCCAGCAGGACCCGAGTCACCAGTGACCTCAACCGGCTCAGTCAAGGGAGGAGGGTCAACCTGAGACACACCTGAAGGAGCAGGACTGGGAGCAGGGAGGGGGTCTACTTGGGGAGCACCTGGAGCGAGAAAGAGCGGCGGGGGGGGGAGAGGGGCAGTGCGGTAGGGGAAGAGACGGTAAAAGGGAACCGACTTGTCGAACGTGACGTCCTGAGACGCAAAGACACGGCGCGAGGTGGGGTGGTAAAACTGCCAACCAGGCGCGTCAGGGGAATAGCCAAGAAAGACACAAGGAACAGCGCGGGCGGAGAGCTTGTCCGCGGTGGTATCGCGGACAAAGGCACGAGCACCCCAGACCCGGAAACGCGACGCATCGCCAACCTTCCCCGTCCACATCAGTGTGGGCGAGGTCTCCGGTAAGTGTTGGGTGCAAATGCACATTGCACGACATCCTGCCGTCTGTTTGTACGAGTATGCGTGTGCGAATGCATTTGCGTGTGAATGTTGTGTTCGTGTGTTTGTTTGCTTTCGCATTTTTCGCTTGATGCATTTGCAGGTACTCGCGCAATGTGCGCTTCGGCACAACATTGTACGCGCTATGAACAGTGCAAGCAGAAAGGACGAGCTCGCAAAGGAACCCAAGATGGAAGCTTTGCAGTTCGGTTGAGTTGATTGCGCAGATTCAGTTTTATCCAACTCGGAATTGTACTGTTTTGTTTGGTTAACTATAGTGTAGCAGGGAAGGCACTATAGGGGTACAATTTAGGTGAAGGTTGGATGTTGTTTGTCTGTATCTGCATGCTACAAGGCCAGGGGAAACCAGCGGAACCAGCATTTGGCTGGTTGGGCAAAGACAAAACAGGTTCTGTTTTTAGAACCTGAACCTGGTTGTTGTTTTCCCAGGTTGGAAAAACAGAACCAGAGGTTGTTTACCAACCTACCACCTGCTATTTTGTCCAGCCAGGTTGGTTCTGTTGCTTGGAATTATTTGGGATCATCCCTGGTTGTTCCCAGGTTGATTCCCAAGGTCCTTGCTAGCTAGAACTATTTAATCCTTCTCTGTTTGTACCTGAATATAGTCAAATTGATTCAAGCGAATTCCTTCCTCGCTGGAATTTCGTTTCTGCGCTATTCGACGGCGGAATGCTACCCGAGTCAACGCTAGTATGCTAGCACTCCAACGCTAGGCAAACGCTGTCCGAGCCATAACTTAGTAATGGCAGAACTTTTCGCGAGGCAACTTGGCTCATTTTAAAGCTCTTGGAGCGAGCTTCGATATAGCGAATTCTCAGCTTAATCCGACCGACGGTCTGCACGGCACGCTGCGCGACGTTCAAGGTACTCTTGCTGTTTTGACTAAGTCCTTCTTGATCCCTCTCTCTACAAACTCGGACCCGAGGATAGGGGCTGGTCTTGTACCAGGCACCCAGGGACCCTTGGAGGTGACCCCGAGGAGAGGTTTTAAGTTTGATTAAGTCCTAATAGCTTGAGTTTATTAGGCCCTTACACCAACAAGCTGGTATCAGAGCTGCGTTATAGTGATCCTCGTTATAGGTAGCTATGGCGGGCAACACCTCGGCGGGAGCTGGTGAATCTTCAGCCCAAGATCGTAGCGGCAGCCAAGATTCTGGTCTTTCAGCGCCAAGGGGAGCGCGAACAAACCAGGGCTCGCTTGTCAAGGAGGTGCTGAAGAATTTCACCGTCGAGAAGTTCAATGGTGAGGGCTATGATGATTGGGCCTGGAAAATGCAATTATATTTCCGTCAGATCGGTTTGCTGAAACTAATGATTGGGGAGGAGCCTAGACCGAGTGACCCCACGCTGCAGGAAGATTGGGACGAGCGCTCCTCGGCTGGCTACTATTTGATGTCGCAGAGTTTGGAGCTGAACCAGCGTCACCACGTCATGCACCTGCTGCCGGAGGTTGAATGCGGTCCGAAGGCGTGGACCGTGTTGAAGGAGCTGCACGCCCCGACCTCCGTTGTCGCAACGTTGATGCTGGAGAGGGAGCTGTCCGCGTTGCGCCTGAGCGAGGGAGAGCCGGTGCAACCAGTCCTGGACAAGATGCGCGACCTCTACGCGAAGTTGGCGACCGCGGGAATCACCTACCCGGAGCAGACCAAGTGCTTGAAGATGCTCTCGCTGCTGCCAGAATCGTGGCTTCAATTTACGAGCGGATTGAGCCTGCCGCAGAACCAGAGCTTGTGGACGCTCGAGTGGGTGCGGACGAAGATTCTGGAGGAGGACTTCCGTCGCCGCCAACTGAGGGGTGGAGACGATGGCAGCAGCGGCTACGGGATGCAAGGGAGCCGACGTGGCAGAGGACGTGGCTTCGGTGGTGCTGGACGCGGTGCAAAGAAAGACGACGACTCCAACGACCAACAAGGAGGTACCGGTTGGGGTCGCGGTGCGAAATCTGGACGTGGGGGCAAGTCGGGTGCTGGTGGCAAAATGAAAGGGAGTTGCTGGTATTGTGAGAAGGAAGGGCACCCCTGGTTTTTGTGCTATAAGAAACCCGATGGATGGACCCCCCAGAATCGTCACCAGGATGGCGGCGCGCGGAGGAACCAGAAAAACGGCGCCAACATGGTCGCTGATTCGTCCGACAACAACCCGAAGGGCAACGGCGGTGCGGAGAAGAAGAAGGAGCGCACCGCGGGCCAATTCTTCCATGTGGGAGACAAGGGGGAGCAAGGAGACGCCTCTGCCAAAGTTGGAGCAGAGCTGCACCCCCTAGACTATTGGGTGTTGGACACAGGCGCTGCTTGGACGATGACGCCGCGCAAGGACCTGCTGGACGAAGTACGAGCTGCACCGATCAATGAAGTGTGCTCCGCCTCTGGACACATGTTGAAGGTGGCTGGTGCGGGACGAGCTGCGTTTAAGGGAGCGGATGGCAAGCCGGTGGTGCTGCACGACGTTCTCTTCGTCCCCGACCTGAAGGCCAACCTTATCTCCCTCCGTAAGCTTGGCAAGGCTGGGGTGAACACCAACACGGATGGGGCACGCACTTATAAGGGGAAGCTGGGCAATCGGGTGCTTTGGGATCTGCACGAGAGCAAGGACGTGTACAGATCTATGTGGCAGCTGCCGGCCCTGGCGTGGCATGGTGGGGGGCAGGCTGGAGAGGGGTCTGCATCCCAGGGGGAGTGCAATGCCGTTGGAGGGGTTGGTGTGAAAGTGTCGGCCAGATCTGGGGAGACAGATTGGGCAACGGCACACCGGCGCTTAGGGCATGTGGCAATGCCTTTGCTGAAGCAGCTGGAGAAGGACGGAGCCGTTAAGGGTCTGAAGCTGAACGGACAGCCACCCGATGACAACTGTGAAATCTGTTTGCTTTCAAAGTTCACCCGTTTCCCTTTCCATAGTGTGGCTGGCAGGAGCAAGAAGCCTTTGGAGCTGGTCCACATGGACTTGGTGGGGCCGCTGCCGGTGCAAGGGCACAAGGGGGAGCGGTATTTTCTTACAATTGTGGATGACTGGAGCAGGCTGATGTGGGCGTATCCGCTGAAGCAGAAGGACCACGCCGCCTCCACGATACGGGACGATTGGCTGCCATTCGTGGAGAAGCAGGCGGAGTGTGTAGTGAAGCGGATTAGGACAGACCGGGGTGGTGAGTTCCTTGGAGCTGAAATGACGGCCTGGCTCAAGAAGCAGGGCATCCAGAGAGAGCTGACCACGGCTTATACTGTTAGGTGCAAATGCACATTGCACGACATCCTGCCGTCTGTTTGTACGAGTATGCGTGTGCGAATGCATTTGCGTGTGAATGGTGTGTTCGTGTGTTTGTTTGCTTTCGCATTTTTCGCTTGATGCATTTGCAGGTACTCGCGCAATGTGCGCTTTGGCACAACATTGTATGCGCTATGAACAGTGCAAGCAGGAAGGACGAGCTCGCAAAGGAACCCAAGATGGAAGCTTTGCAGTTTGGTTGAGTTGATTGCGCAGATTCAGTTCTATCCAACTCGGAATTGTACTGTTTTGTTTGGTTAACTATAGTGTAGCAGGGAAGGCACTATAGGGGTACAATTTAGGTGAAGGTTGGATGTTGTTTGTCTGTATCTGCATGCTACAAGGCCAGGGGAAACCAGCGGAACCAGCATTTGGCTGGTTGGGCAAAGACAAAACAGGTTCTGTTTTTAGAACCTGAACCTGGTTGTTGTTTTCCCAGGTTGGAAAAACAGAACCAGAGGTTGTTTACCAACCTACCACCTGCTATTTTGTCCAGCCAGGTTGGTTCTGTTGCTTGGAATTATTTGGGATCATCCCTGGTTGTTCCCAGGTTGATTCCCAAGGTCCTTGCTAGCTAGAACTATTTAATCCTTCTCTGTTTGTACCTGAATATAGTAAAATTGATTCAAGCGAATTCCTTCCTCGCTGGAATTTCGTTTCTGCGCTATTCGACGGCGGAATGCTACCCGAGTCAACGCTAGTATGCTAGCACTCCAACGCTAGGCAAACGCTGTCCGAGCCATAACTTAGTAATGGCAGAACTTTTCGCGAGGCAACTTGGCTCATTTTAAAGCTCTTGGAGCGAGCTTCGATATAGCGAATTCTCAGCTTAATCCGACCGACGGTCTGCACGGCACGCTGCGCGACGTTCAAGGTACTCTTGCTGTTTTGACTAAGTCCTTCTTGATCCCTCTCTCTACAAACTCGGACCCGAGGATAGGGGCTGGTCTTGTACCAGGCACCCAGGGACCCTTGGAGGTGACCCCGAGGAGAGGTTTTAAGTTTGATTAAGTCCTAATAGCTTGAGTTTATTAGGCCCTTACACCAACAAGCTGGTATCAGAGCTGCGTTATAGTGATCCTCGTTATAGGTAGCTATGGCGGGCAACACCTCGGCGGGAGCTGGTGAATCTTCAGCCCAAGATCGTAGCGGCAGCCAAGATTCTGGTCTTTCAGCGCCAAGGGGAGCGCGAACAAACCAGGGCTCGCTTGTCAAGGAGGTGCTGAAGAATTTCACCGTCGAGAAGTTCAATGGTGAGGGCTATGATGATTGGGCCTGGAAAATGCAATTATATTTCCGTCAGATCGGTTTGCTGAAACTAATGATTGGGGAGGAGCCTAGACCGAGTGACCCCACGCTGCAGGAAGATTGGGACGAGCGCTCCTCGGCTGGCTACTATTTGATGTCGCAGAGTTTGGAGCTGAACCAGCGTCACCACGTCATGCACCTGCTGCCGGAGGTTGAATGCGGTCCGAAGGCGTGGACCGTGTTGAAGGAGCTGCACGCCCCGACCTCCGTTGTCGCAACGTTGATGCTGGAGAGGGAGCTGTCCGCGTTGCGCCTGAGCGAGGGAGAGCCGGTGCAACCAGTCCTGGACAAGATGCGCGACCTCTACGCGAAGTTGGCGACCGCGGGAATCACCTACCCGGAGCAGACCAAGTGCTTGAAGATGCTCTCGCTGCTGCCAGAATCGTGGCTTCAATTTACGA